ACAGAGCATCCCACTCATATTCATCATGATCACGAGACACATGTTGCGACGTCACACGCCACGTCGCAACCTCATCACACTTCCCCATGACAGGAAGAACGGGCTCATGCAATCGTTGACCCTGTAACGAACAATCAAGCCCAAGATCAACCCCCTGTGCAGGAGATGACTGCTAAAAGTCATTCTGCTCATCGCCAGAGAGTTTCCCCACGTCCTAGGCCCATCTCATCAGCACCTCACGCTCGCGAAGATTTACGACGCCAAATTGAGCGCAATCGTCTTTCAAGACATAGTACGGAGGAAATTGAGACCCTCCGTAAACGTTTGGCCGAACTTGAAATGCGACAGAAGTCACAAGAAGATTCACCCCGACATGTCGCGACGTCGGGAAATGTTGTTGTTGAGGCGGATTCTCCGTTAGCCCCCGAACTTACTGCGGAGCCACTCCCTGTCAAAGTAAAAATTCCGCAAATCGGCGTGTATGATGGGACGTCGGATCCGGACGCTCATTTAGGTCATTACACATCTTGGATGGATTTACATGGAGCTTCAGATGCTCTCAGGTGTCGGATGTTCTCACTTACACTGGGGCCACGAGCCCAGAAATGGTATTACACTCTCCCACCTCATTCAATTTGGAAATGGCAGCAACTACGTGCGGCTTTCCGGTCACACTTTATTGGTGCTCAAATTTGTCTCATTCCGAAAGAATCGATTACTAACATCGTGCAAAAAGACGATGAGACTGTTAAAGATTATGTGGCCCGATTTAACGACCGAATTCAGAATATGGAGCCATGTCATCCTGAAACTTTGTTAGTGACTGCTATTGCTGGATTGAGGCCCAATTCAATGTTTCGTTGGACCTTATGTCAAAATAAGCCTGCAACATTTCAAGAGTTTCTTGTACGAGCTCAACAATTCATCATTGCCGAAGAATCTATGTCGGTCCCCAGTTTCGACTTCTCGGTAAAAGAAAGTAAGGTTGAATCGGATACTAAAAAGAAAAACAAGAAGAACTTTGGGAAGTCCCAATTTCGGAACTCCTCTAAAGGGTATGAGAATACTCCAGAGTCTCGGGCTGCTCGTGATCAATATTCGGACAACGTCAGGACAGGTTACCACGCTGTTTATTCTGCTGGAGCGGCCACCATATATGAAGAGCTGAAAGGAAAGGGATTATTCCAGACCCGAGGCCTGTGAGAACTCCTGAAGATAAGTTGGACAAAACTCGCTACTGTGCGTACCACAAATCTCCAGGGCACAATACCGACGAGTGTCTCGGTCTTTTATCGGCACTCTTACGTTTAATCGGGCAACCCCAACTTCAAAAGTTTCGAAATTTTGATAATCGCCGGAAAGGAAGACCTTTGGATCTTTCAGACGATGAAGATGAAGATAATCGACCTGCTAACCAGAAGAGAGCTCGTGTAAACGATAAGGAAGTTTTTACGTTTTCTACTCATGTCGGAACGTCGACCGACAACTACGGGAAACTTAAGACACATGATTCTGCAGATTTTTCACGTAGTATACCCCGGGTCAACTCCAATAACAAACAGTCAGATATGTCTCGACGGAAAATTAAAGCTTATGCTCGGGAGGCTCAGAATGCCGAGAACCGAGTCATGAATGTCGATCTTCGAGATACCATCAATAAACGGAATTGCCCCATTACATTCAGTATTGAAGACGCCAACTTGTTCGCTCATCCTCATTCTGATGCTCTCATCATAACTGCCCCAATTGGCGGAATTCTTGTTCATCGAATCCTGGTCGATACGGGAGCGTATTCGAGTATCTTAATGCTCCGTACTTTCAAAAAATTGGGTTTGGACCCAGCAGATATTAGGCCGTGTAACGATCAGATTCAAGGTTTCAATGGAAGCATCTCTTGCCCTGTTGGCGAAATAATGCTCCCTATTCGATTTGGAGGCTTTGGACCGAAGTCCAAGATTATTATGGAAACCTTCAAAGTTTTGGATGTCCAAAATGAATATAATGCTGTAATTGGGCGAACCGCACTTTATAAACTTCGTGCTGCTGTCTCGATTTTTCATTATGCCTTGAAGTTTCCCACCATTGAAGGAGAAGGCACTCATTACGGAGATCAACGAGAAGCCCGAAGTCTGATGCTGCTTTCAACCTCGCCTAACTTTCATATGATTGAAGCACGAGATGTTAATAACTTTGTTGAGCCAAGTGATCCAATTCCTCGTACTGAGCAAGTTGATCAGTTCACCTCGGATACCGACATGTCTCAAGTACCGACATCCGATACCGACATCCCCATGACGTCGGTCTTGTCTGAAGTATCAACAGAAATCCTTGGCCAAGAACAATCTTCCCATGAAAAAGACATAGAGATACATGAGGATATAGACCCAAGGATGCAGTTCAAAGATGGAAGCCATCATATCCGAGCGGAACCTGTTGAAGATATTGAGGGGCCAACCTGCA